TACTTGAATGAACTGAATGCTTTTTCCGTACATAACTATGCAAACATAGACTATTCATACATCTATAATTGAAACATAACCTCACTTTTTGACTACCATTTTTCAAATACAATTTTATTCAAACGAATATAGTTGGTAAAAGTGATGATATCAAGTCAAAATCTTCGAAATGTACGTGAAAGAGTTACTTATTCGATTTATTGAGTGATTGCTTTAGAAATTCAACCAAATCGTTTTGTTTACTATAGTAATCATTAGAACGTCGTAACATTCAAAATTCTGATATTTTAGGCAAAATTTTACCTACTATCACGATTTATCGATAAAATTGTCGAAAATAACTACATGACTATTTAAAGTTTTACGTAATCTTCAAAAATGACAGACTATAAAAAATAATGCCTATTCACTCTCACCTGGAAAAGGCCTAAGTTATAGCGCTCAGGGGATAAGTACATAGTCGTTCGCCATATAAATTTGGAAGTGTAGCGCTTTATCAACCCCACCTACGTTTAGTCCCTCGATGATGGAAAGGCGGAGGCGGAATTGAATGGTGCAATTTTCTAAGTAACCCTGCAGGGCACTTCCACCATCACCAATAATTAATTTAAAGTAAATTACATTCATATTGCTTTCTTCTAAATGCCAAATTCTAAATACAAATACAATTAAACTTATATTAATTTTGTTATTCAAGCTTGATACTTAAGATTTAAATCCAACTGTATGCCGCTTACGATAACGGTCCAAAGTTCAAAGTGTCAAGCTTGACGTGCTCTTGACTCTCTCTCTCTCTCTCATCTTAGCGTTGTCCCGGTTGCGTCCTCAGCAGGGTTGCTGCGGAGCCCGGGGTCCGCTTTCCTACTTTTTCTCCTCCACTTTGCACGGTCTTCGGCATCCTTAGTGGTGAGACCATTGGCACGCATATCACCCTTGGCGACGTCAAGCCAGCACTTTTTGGGTCTGCCCCTTCTACCGGGGCCCGGCGGAGGTGGCATAGCCAGACATTTGTTTCCCACGTAGCATGCCGGTTTCCGTAAGATGTGGCCGTACCAACGTAGGCGGCTTTCTTGCAGTTTATCTGCAATGTCACGGACATGAAGGCTGCCGCGGATGCGGGAGTTTCTGACACGGTCTTTCCGTGAAACTCCACACATCCAGCGCAGCATCTTCATTTCCGTGACACGCAGCTCCTGCTTATGACGCTCAAGTACGGGCCACGTTTCACTGCCATATAAAAGGACAGGCCTAATGATGGATTTATAGACTTGTCCTTTCAGCTTAACCGGCATCTTGGGGTCACAAATTACACCAGTCACCTCACGCCACTTTGCCCAAGCGGCTGCGATTCGGGCTCTGACGTCGCAGTCGATGTCTCCGGACGCGCTAAGTACAGATCCCAAGTATTTAAACTGGCCCGTAGGCTCGACCGCGTCTTCGCCTATGCGTACGGGTAGGGGATCTGTAGCGTTGCAGACCATGTACTCAGTCTTCGCCACATTTAGTCTCAGACCGCCGTTCTCAAGCGACTCCTTCCACACATTCACTCGTCGTACCAGTCTCCCTCTATCCGCATCCGCCAGCGCGATATCGTCAGCGTACATAAGCATCCACGGGGGTTGCTCATGCGTGTCTCGGATGGAGCTTGAGACCTCGTCTAATATCACGCTGAACAGATAGGGACTGAGAACTGAGCCCTGGTGAACTCCGACTGTGACAGGGAAGGGTTTAGTGTCACCAACAGCAGTCCTAACCATGGAATCGGAATCGCGGTACATGTCTCGGATGGTGTCAATATAAGCTTCTGGTACCCCTTTGGATCTCAGTGCCCACCAGATCATTACACGGGGGATACAGTCGAAGGCCTTCTGCATGTCAAGAAACATGAAATGCAGAGGCGTATTCTTCAATCTGTATTTCTCCATGATGACCCTTAGGGCAAAAACAGGATCCATGGTCCCAAGACCAGGCCGAAACCCATATTGACCCTCCGAGACAGCACTCTCCTGTCGGATCCGAGAGTCTATTATACGCTCGAAGAGCTTCATGGTGTGGGACATGACCTTTATGCCCCGATAATCGCCACACTCCTGCACCGATCCCTTCCCTTTGAAGACTGGAGTGATAATACTCAGTCTCCATTGGTTAGGGATTTTACCGGTGAGGAGCACGCGATTAAAGAGGCCGGTAAGGATGCCCACACCACGGGGACCCATTGCCTTCCAGGCCTCGATGGGAACCCCATCGGCTCCGACAGCTTTCCGATTCTTCATGCGACGAAGAGCTAAGTGGACTTCCTCAGGCGTTACCGGTCGCACTAGTCCCTGATTCGGAGGGAGGACCGGTGGCTGCACCTCTCTGTGCTGCTGATTCAGCAGCTCGTGGAAATATGAGCGCCATCTCTCCTTCACCGCGTCGACCTCGCATATAAGGTTGCCATGAGGGTCTTTAATGCAGCGACACTTGGAAATATCTTGTGCCGCTAAGACCCTCGAACGTGCCAGCTTAAAGATAAGCTTCTGCCCCTCAGACGATTCCAACTTGTCATACAACGGCTGCAAGTGGTCCCGTCTGGCTCTGGCTACAGCTTTCTTAGCGGCACGTTTGGCATCCCTATATGCGTCGCGGTCTTCAGAAGATTCGGACGCTTGCCACGTTTTGAAGAGGGCTTTCTTCACCCTCACCTCCCTCTGGACTGTGTCGTTCCACCACCAAGTTTCTTTGTCACATTTGCGACCACCCTTGGATAAGCCCAGCACCGCTTTCGCCGCCTCAGATATGGCAGCCTGAATGTTGTCCCAGTGGTTCTGGACTAGATCACCTTCAGTGTCGGCGCATTTATCGCCGATCGCTGAGATGAACTCCTGGGACGTGGTACTATCAAGCCGCCACCATCTGATTTGGCGTCGGCAGCGCTCAGCGGGCTTGTCGGCCGGCTTTACGCAGAGATCCATGACAAGAAGACGTGCTCTTGACTGTACAAATGTATTATTATTAATTTGGGGCCGTGATTTTAATTTTGGTTTTCGAATTAGAATTTTTAATTTTTATTGTGCTTTATTTTAAGATATTAACTGCCTCCGTGGCCGAACGGTTACCATGCCGGACTGCCACGCAGAAGTCCTGGGTTCGATTCCCAGGCCGGAAGAAATATGTGTATTATTAAATTTTTATTATTATAATTTTATTTTTAACTGACTTCAAAAAAGGAGGAAGTTCTCAATTCGACTGTTTTTTTTTGTATGTATGTTACGCGATAACTCCGGTATTTGTGAACCGATTTTCGTGATTCTTTTTTTGTTGGAAAGGGGGGAATTCCATAGCGGTTCCATTTCATTTTGAAGAAAATCATCCACCTCTAAGGGTGGCTGTTCACGCATGAAGGTTCATTTTTATAAATAGCGCCTAAATTTTACTTAAGCAGTAATTATTTTAATGGTTAATTTTGCTATTTCTCCAATTCCAGGCGTTTTTCTAATTTGAATTAGATTTTGGTGCTTGTTGTAATTCTTGTTACAAATAACCTGCAAATAAATATGTTTTATATATAAGGAAACAGTAACTAATTTAAAGTATGTATTTCTTAACTCACATTAAAAAAACCAGATTTTATTAAACCTTTTAAACTTCATATGAAGTCATATAAAATCAGTTTAAAAATGTAAGTCAACTGTGACAATGATACATTTCTTTCATTACATTAGAAAGGCACACCCAAGGCACTAGCCTTACAAAGACTGGAGGAAGTCCGTGCAAACGTGCTGATCCGGGGTTAGGACCGGACTTAGATGGTCCCTGTGCGGGTTCGCTCGCACAGGCCATAGCGCCCTTCTCGTATACCGCCAAGGGTCGGTAGGGAGGGTCATTATAATCAAAACTAATGTAGAAAAATATGGGGTTGCTACATTGACTTACAAATAAATTGACGACGGGTCTAATACAAAAACCACGAAAAAATGTCCCAAGTCAACCTATTTAAACGTAGTGACATGTCAAGGAATATGAAAAAGCTAAAACGTTGAATTTAAATTGTAATGTCATCGCAGTACTGTCTAATTTTTCTTGCTTCGCTGTCAGTCGAACAAACGAAGACTAGAGCGTGAATGACGCTCTGTATACGATTTTAACGCCCTATAAGTTCGGACACTTTTTAGCGCGGACCCGACGTCCATATAATTGTAAGTCAATGGGTTGCTATTACACTTTACCCATATTTAACACCTTATATTTCGCAACCATTAATCGATACATATTGGTTATTACAGGAGGCATTGTTCGATATGGTGGAATACTACGAGAGCGCAACAGCGGTCACCATCTGTGGACCACGGGCTTTCGGCGTGCGAGGTTGGCAGGCTGTCTCCAGGATGATCAAAAAGGTTATATTGCAATGGATTGTTTCATGTGGCTCTTTCTTCCATTTTCTTATCTATAGATGGCATATCGTTGGAGATAGTGCAATTACGCGTAACTAGCATTGGATTATGTTATGTATAGTTTTCATTTCGGTAATTAAGTCGCCCAAGTAAATATCGTGGCAACCAAATTAGCGTGTTGTACAGGAATCTGTCTTTATCAGTCCGTAGACAACATAGATTAATGCTTACTGTGCAAAAATGGAAGTCGTAGCCGTTGAAATAACAAAGTGATAATGTTAAATCCCTCTCTTGTAAAATTTAGTTTACTGCATTTTATCAATGCTACATACGCGAATTTGCACTATCCCCGATGATATACAGTATTAGGTTGTATATATTACACATCGGGAAAACTTGAAATCCACGAATACATTCGTACGTTGCTGTCGCGTCTATATGTTATCGTATTATTCACCGACGTATTTATGACAACGAAACAAGAAACTTTATTAACGTTGTAAATGACTTTTACATTAAATATTGACTAATTCATATTAAATTGTCATAAATACGTCAGTGGCCGTAGCATGACTGAATATGTGTGATAAACCTTCCCGTGACAATATTTAATTCGGTTGATAAATCTAAGTTCGCTTATTTGGTAATGAACTATTGTTAAATATTTTGATGAACAAGAACAACGATATGAAATTGCGTATATAGCTCTTTGTCGTTTAATCATCGCCGCGAAAATCATGAAACAAAAAATGTATTTTCATTTCGTTTGTCGCGCTCAATTTTTACGTTGATAAAATTATTATGCAAATATTTTAAACTGAGCTATGACCTTGCAGCGATGTTTGGCACTGTGTTAATTTTTTGCAGTCGTTGGCCGTGTGAGCTCGCGATGATATAAAAATGTGACATCACGGTGCCCGCCATGTTAGCTATTGTGATAAAATTTTAAAATACCGGTTTATCATTCGAATTTTACAGCTAAATGTGGATATAATAGCTTTATCGCGGCGGCATACTATGGGGGCATTTATTAATGCAATATGTTATACACGCGACAACAGCATTCGGAAATATTTGGCTTCCAGATTTTCCCGATGTGCAATATTAACAACGTGGTACTGTTATTATATTAGTGCAACCCCTTGGCTATTCCGATCGCGTTACTAGTAACCATTAAATCCTTTAGCGTGTAGGTGTTAGGACACTAATGGTACGATATGAAGAGGTCCATCGTTTAAATCGCATCGCACAAACAATCCAGGGGGTCCACTCCCGTTCTCCGTCCCACATCCGTTCGAAACAATATTTTTTTATGATATCAAGTGACGGGACGAAGTAGTCGTGCGCCTGGTGGTAAGCGACACGCCTGTCCGTAACAGTTGCATTGCGAATCAGTACTTTAAATCACAAAGATCTGAGAGGCCCTGTCACTGCATCCGTTACCCTGAGATATAAGTTGACAAGTCCCATGTGCCTGTAATTTCACCAGCACCCTTACCCTTCAAAACCAGAACGCAGCAATGCTTACGTTACTGCTTGTCGGTAGAAATATGTAACGGGGCAATATTTCCCTGGATGAACTCTTTCACAAGGAGCTCTACTGCTACTGAACTACTGTCAAATAAGTAATACTCTACTAAGTTCTCACCAATTGCGTCCTATGTGAAAACTGCTTGAAGCCAATATGTACATTACAAACCCGACAATGTACAAACGAGTGTATAACCAGAAATAGAGACGAAATGTCATTTAATTTGTTTGAAAACTATTCTGCCATATCATTACTGTGACAACTCCGCTCCGATTGGCCAGCCCGAGTTCGAAAGAATTGACGGGTGTCGTCAATTGTTTCACTTCAAATCGACCAGTTTAACTTGAGTTTGCTATAGTGGACGATAATTGCAAAATTACATATTTAATTACCGATGAATGTGATTCCGTTTGTTTTGTAAATGTTTTTTTGCCTGATGGACGGCGATTATTTCATCTCTATTTCTGATTATAAACTCGATGTTACAAACCTAGTGGATATATCAATCGATTACAGAGCTGTCAACTAGCCGAGTTAGAAATTACCAACCATCCATTGGAAGCGAATCACGCACCTGTAATATCGAGGGCTCTTCACGCCTTCAGCTGCAAGCTGAGAGTGCTGTGTTTGCAGAGGACATTGCTTGCTGGAGACCCGCTACTCTGTCTAGGTAAGATCACATAATATGTAGGTAATATACTTCGTTTCAATCAATTTTGAACAAGTTACTAACCCGACCATAGACGTTTAATGATCGTCAATTGCAATGCCAACTATAAATCGATTAATTAATTGAATCAATCGATTTGTTCAATTGAGTCATGCTAGCGGTTTTCCCTACATAACCTTGCATATTTAAAATTTCCGAAATCTTAATTTTAAATCCTCCTTCAAATCCTTACACTTAGATACTCGTTCGATTGCGATTGAAAGATTCGATTTACTAATTGATTACAATAACTTTAATTGAATGACCCGGAAGTTTTTTTTTCTCCACCACTATGCAACCACAGACAAGTCATAGATGTATTGATGAAAAAAATAACCTCACTTTTGGACTACCATTTTTCAAATACAATTTTACGATGCTATTAAAATAAATATTGTTGGAAAAAGTGATGAGATATCAAGTCGAAATCTTCGAAATATACTTGAAAGGGTTATTAATTCGATTTATTGAGTGATTGCTTTAGAATTTTAACCCAACAGTTTTGTTTACTTTTTGTTGAAAATGGATTGGTACAGACTTTACCATGGACCAGTAACTCAAGAAGACTGCTAATCTCCATACTGCAGATCGTAACCAATCATGGTTACGTTGCATCTCTGATTAGACATGGACTTTTGGTTTGGGGTAACTTAACTGTTTGTGAAAAAATGTTTATAGCTAAAAAACTTGTCCGAACAATGACCGATATTTCACCAACTCAGTCGTGTGTTTAACCCGTGTTTAACCCGGCGGGATTGTGGTGACAAAATGTTACAAAGACTATATGGTAGTGTATGACATATTAATGATCTGCCATTCTTTCTTCCATTGCGAAATAGTGTTGTTTGCTGATGACACATCCTTGATTTTTAAAACAGGCAGACATGACATTAACTATGACCGTATTAATGATACCCTCTCTAAGGTAGTTTATTGGTTTAATGCTAACAAATTATTGCTTAATGCCAAGAAGACAAAATGTGTTAAATTTGAATTACCTAACGCAAAATCGACTAGTCCAAGCACAGAAATAAACGGAGAAAAGTTAGACCTTGTTAATAAAGCAGTCTTCTTGGGAGTGACCTTAGATAGTAAACTTCAGTGGTTTCCACATATATCGTCCCTGGCCAGCAGATTAAGCTCCGCTGCATACGCAGTCCGCAGAATACGTGAGCTTACCGATGTTAGTACTGCTAGACTAGTTTACTTTAGTTACTTCCATAGTATAATGTCCTACGGGATTCTCATGTGGGGTAAAGCGGCAGATATTTAAACCATATTTGTATTGCAAAAACGAGCGATTCGTTCTGTGTACCGTCTAGGCTCTCGGGTATCTCTCAGAGAAAAGTTTAAGGAGACTGGTATCATGACTGTGGCATCACAGTACATTTACTCAAATATTTTATATGCCCGTAAAAATATACATAATTTCAATAAGAAAGAAGATATCCATAATATTAACCTTAGAGCTAAGTCCAAACTCATGGTACCACGATTTCGTTTAACCAAGGTAAACAACTCTTTTATGGGGAACTGTATACGTTTTTACAATAAGATTCCGGAGCATATATTAAGTTTATCATTTCCTAAGTTTAAAAACTACATTAAAAATATTTTGATCGAAAAATCATATTACAAAATTGAAGACTACGTGTTAGATAAAGGGGACCTCAGGGAGGTCAGCGTGGTGAAAGAGCAGTAGCTTAAATGTGACGTTTTCAAGTGTAAATTTATTTTACCTATGGAATAAATAATCTTTGACTTTGACATACCCGCATACAATATTGACTCAAAATTGTATGTATCTAACAGATAGCGTTGGATTGAATATGTTGAACGCCAGCTATGTGGTTGGGTATTACATACCCGAGCGTTGTTGACAAGTGAACTAACTCGAGCGATGGTTGCCTCGACACTGCGATTTTGACATTATCCCTTCCCGTGTCTTTTTAACTTCAGCTACTCAAAACAACAAAACGTTTTGAGTAATTAATAAGAAAAATACACTCATAAAATGTAACAGGTGGGTATGTCACACCCGGCCACACTCCCGCCTGGTTAAAGACTTGGGAATATACGTGTATGTATATTTTTATCGCCTGGTTTGTTAAACAAAACCAGATATCTTTAAAAAAGAAGAAATATTCATAGTAGACATATAAGGGTTCCAAATAGACTGGTTTATAATAAAGTATCTAGACATACCATTGCATTGATTTTTATAGTAGGACACCTATAAAAATCAATGCAATGGTATGTGTGTCCAAATATATAATGCTCTACCCATTGACTTACAAATAAATGGACGACGGGTCTAATACAAAAACCACGAAAAAAATGTCCCAAGTCAACCTATTCGAAATTTAAATTGTAATGTCATCGCAGTATCGCGCTGTCGGTAGAACAAACGAAGACTAAAGCGGAGTTTGGCGCTCTGTATACGATTTTAGCGCCTTACAAGTGCGGACACTTTTTAGCGCGGACCCGACGTCCATATAATTGTAAGTCAATGGCTCTACCAAACGATATTAAAATGTTACCAAATAGTTTGTTTAAAAATAGATTGAATGCATGGCTTAAAGACAAAAATATTACATTGACCGATTTCTTGAATAAACATTGACATATAAATTACTACTGGTATTATAATACTAATTAATTGGTTTGACTTTCATAATTTTTGCTATTATTTGAATTGACTACGTATTGAAATAAAATTAGAAGCTTTAATTGTAAAAAAATAAATTCTGAAATAAAGCCAGTGTCACTGACATTCAACCTGCGCTATAGAACCTATTCAGTACGGGAAAAATTTGAACTCTAGCTGAGGTAGTACCGACTTTTGACAATAAAACTTAACTGTTAAGTCTATTGAATGTCACGATACAGCTGCTGGTAGCTATAAAGGTACGTGGCTGAGTGAAGAAATAGATTTCTCACAGATGGCGCTACAGTAGAAAAGTCGTTAAAAACCAAAAACAAAAATCGGCAACTAACTCAGAAAAATTCGTAAAGTCCGCTGACTCGACTCGACTCGAGCTGTGCTAGTGTCAACTCTTAATGTTTGAATTTAATATGCGTTCCAGTGATAGCTCTGAAGACGAACACCTCGATCCGCGAGTTGCGCCTGGGGGACAACCAGCTGACTGCGTCTGACGCTGCTCAGCTGGCGCTGCTGTTGCGCTACAACACGAGGCTTCAGCTATTGGACCTCTCAAATAATCAGATACAGGTAAATTTTTCGTAAAGGGTAACGAACCTTAGGCTGCTAACAGATTGCATGTTTGCAGTAAATGCGTAAAGTCGGTAACTTCCGAGAGTCCAGACCACGACTGCATGAAGTTGATAACGACTTCCGTCGCACGACGTTGATAACGAGACCGACTGCAGTCGATCTCGGCTGCAGTCGGTTTCAACTGTTATGCAATTGATGCGTGAAGTCGTTTTCAACATGCAGTCTCGGATAACGACTACAAGCATCAACTGCATGCAGTCGATCTGTTAGCAGCCTAAGGTGGTGGTTTAAAGTTCTTTTCACTATTGACTAAGACTTGATTTGTTTACAAGATTCGTTAAAACACTTTTTTAAACTCACTTCAAAAAGGAAGAGATTCTCAATTCGATTCTTTGTTTTGTATATGTTACGCGATTATTCCGACTTTTGTAAACCGATTTCGATTATTCTTTTTTTATTTAAAAGGAGGTACCTCTGTAGTAATCCCATTCAAATTTTAACAAAATATTCCACCTCTAAGGATGGCAAATTAGGGGATGAATCTGGTGTATTGGATTCCACCCATTGAGTACATAACCAGAAATAAAGACAAAATAAGGGCCATCAAATGGTACTGATATCACTTTTAAATATCAACTCTCGTTTGCGCTGAAATCACAAATTAGAAAGCTGATTCTCTGAGGGTCGTATTCCAGAACTCTACTCAATGCTCAAGTCAGGATTTGAGCAGACTTGAGTATGATTTCAAGCACTGGAAATACGACTCTAATGGCAAGGACTTGAGTATGATTTTCAGTGCTCACTGCAATACTTAAGTCCTGACTTGAGTATTGAGTAGAGTTCTGGAATACGACCCTGAGTCTCCGTAAATTTCAAAAATGTTCTGTATTTATTGTAATAAAGATTATACCTCTAAGTATGAGGGACCGTTCCATTCGGTGGTGTGGGAAAAATAATAAAACATTTACAAAACAAACAGAATCACATTTAATCGGTAATTAAATATTAAATTATGTAATTTTTCAATTTCCGTCCATTATAGCGAAGCTCAAGTTAAACTGGTCGATTTGAAGTGAAACAGTTGACGACACCCGTCAATTGTTTCGAATTCGGACTGGCCAATCGGAGCGCAGTTGTCACCGTAATGATTTGGCAGAATAGTTTTCAAACAAATTAAATGACATGTCGTTTCTATTTCTGCTCCATGATTTCACCCAATTTCTAAATTGGCAAATAGATGTAATTCCAGAAAATTTTGAGATCGGTTTTTTATGCAAATAAAGATCATAATTTTATTTCAAAGAGAATAATCGAATGCCGTGATGCGACATCTATAGAGACAGTGTACGTTATTTGCAGGACGCAGGCGCAGGTCACATCGCAGAGGCGCTGGCCGATCAAGCGACGCAAACGCCACCCTCGGCGACCAATTCACCCATGTCGCCACACCAGTGTCCTTGTAAGTTTTAAACTATGACCTGTTCCAATCCATTTTGAACAAAAAGTAAACAAACAGGTTTGGTTAAAATTCTAAAGCAATCACTCAATAAATCGAATAAATAACACTTTCACGAATATTTAGGTTTAATATATCATCACTTTTTTCAACAATATTCATTTGAATAGCATCGTAAAATCGTATTCGAAAAATGGTAGTCCAAAAGTGAGGTTATTATTCATCTATACTTCTACGACTTGCCTATGGTTGCATAGTGCTGTTCGAAAAAACATTCGGTTCAATCAATTAAAGTTTAGTAATCGATTATTACATCGAACATTTCAATCGCAATCGAACGAGTATCTGAGTGTAAGGAAGGAGTAATTAAAGGAGGAGGAGTGGGAGGAATTAAATAATTTATTATGTATAGGTAATTGTAAGGAAAACCGCTAGTATGACTCAATTGAACAAATCGATTCATTCAATTATTTAATCGATGTGTAGTTGGCGTTACATTTGGCCATCACTAAACCGTCTATAGGCGGGTCAGTGACTTGTTTTTTACTTTTTGTCAAAATGGATTGAAACGAAGTATAATTTACTATATTATATTAACTACCTCGGTGGCCGAACGGTTACCGTGCCGGACTGCCATGCAGAGGTCCCAGGTTCGATTCCCGGGTCGGGAGAAATATTTGTATGGCCTACATTTATTTCTCTCGTGAGCTTGGGTGTAATTTGTGGTTGTCTACGTGTGTGTCCATGGCACCCGCGACACAGGGTTTCCCTAGTGCGGGGCTATGTTGAGTGTGTACTATAATAGAGTCGGCGGCGCCTCCACCATTTATAATAGAGGGCTGTAGCTCAGACGCATTGCGAGAGGTACTTTTAATAATATAAAACCGGGATTAACTTAAACTTTGGTTTATTTTACCATTTTCATGTCTAGGGTTACGAAACAATGATCTTAATATTAATGTCAAGATCTTCTCTTATTTTCTTAGCGTTCCAAATACAAACTATAATCATTACCTATGTTCAGCCAGCAATTCTACTCATAGAGTACAGCCTAGTCTACAGTACGTTATTAAAAAAATAAATAATAATAATAATCACGAATATGGTAGCGGAATTTACGAAACCGAATTACGCGAGGTTAGGTTTTGACTGAGTAACTGGGTATTAACTAAAGATTCTTAACTATTATTTTTATTTAATAATAATATTATGTACATTGTGGTATGGCAGCCAACTACTATAGTACCACCTCTCAAGTAGAGGCATTGGGTTCGAATACGGGCTCGCACCTCTGTGGCGATATGGCCGGAGTCGTAGCGGCGCGTATTGGTGTGAGCGCTGGTGCTTATGCGCTACAAGTTTCTCAGAATTTATTAATGGAGCGTTGCGATGAAGAAAAACATCGTGTTTTTAACGTGGTTTTAACTTTAAGCAGATGATATTATCTGTGAATAAAACACCATACACTTTTTTTTATTTTCTTATTGTGTTTGTCGATTCCACAATGTTCAGTTACGACATGGTTACGACATTATTTACTGTTATGTGCGTAATTTTTATTATATGTAATTAAATGCGATCGTTTTTCAGTGAGTGGGTACGAATCACGTGGATTGGCGTTCTTGGTGTTATGGAACAACCAGCTTACGAGGAACTGTGCCCACCATCTTAGCAAAGCTCTGGTACGTGTATTGGTAGAGCTTCTCACGAAATTGTTCGTCCAGGGAAGTATTGCCACCATGCCGATTTCTACCGCCTAGCAGTAGAGTGCTGGTGAAATTGCACATGGGACTTGTTAACTTATGTCTCAGGGAGACGGGCGCAGTGATAGTGCCTCTCAGATCTCAGATCTTTGCGATTTAAAGCTCTGAGTGGCACTGCAACTGTTATGGACAGGCGCGTAGCTTACCATCATTCGCACGACTAGAACGTCCCGTCAATTTGGAACATAAAAAAGTCACGGAACAATAGTTATTTGTGGTGTTAGTAATATGGTCTTGCAAGGATGTTAGTATTATAGAAATAACTATGTAAATATGTGCCACGTTTTATAGGCGTTAGTGAAAATTGGGTGAAATTCTATATTATAATATAATACATGTTTAGTTTTATTTATTACACTAAAACATATTCATAATCCTAATTTTCACTTACGGTTATACTTATATATTCAAACCCGTTTAGTTTATACCTCATCAGTTTTTATTCTTGCTTGTGCTTTTATTTTGTGTGATTAAGTGATTATTGAAATTATTTTAGTTCTTCGACGAATTAAAATCATTCAATAAACACAATTTGTTATCATAGTCTCATTGACTTACAATTATATGGATGTCGGGTCCGCGCTAAAAAGTGTCCGAACTTATAGGGCGTTAAAATCGTATACAGAGCGTCATTCACGCTTTAGTCTTCGTTTGTTTCTTCTGACAGCGAAGCAAGCAAAATTAGACAGTACTGCGATGACATTACAATTTAAATTCAACGTTTTAGCTTTTTCATATTCCTTTACATGTCACTACGTTTAAATAGGTTGACTTGGGACATTTTTTTCGTGGTTTGTGTATTAGACCCGTCGTCCATTTATTTGTAAGTCAATGCATAGTCTATTTCATTTCAACATAAGAATAAAATATGCCAACGGATTTATATTACATAAATAATGTACTACAAATCGCGTAGTGTAAATTGCGCGCAGATTTGTAATGAGAAAGAAAGCCTTACTGAGGTAGTGAGGTGAAAAATAATTTTCCTGTTCGATTTTAGCATCGAGTATATAACCAGAAATAGAGACGAAATAAGGGCCATCCATCCCTTGCAACTTATCAGGGAAACGGGCCTTATATCACTTTTAAATATCAACTCTCGTTTGCACTTCTATCACAAATTAGATACGTCTCCGAGTATTTAAAAAATACTTATATAGTATTCTATATTTATTGTTCCATTCGGTGGTGTGGGTAAAACAGTAAACAAAACAAACGGAATCGCATTTCATTTTCCGTCCAATTAGAGCGAAGCTCAAGTTAAACTGGGCCAATCGGAGCGCAGTTGTCACCGTAATGATTTGGCAGAACAACATTTCGTCCCCGTCTCTGGTTATGTCGATGGACCTTTGTAGTCGCGATGTGTTGTCGGGCAGACGTCGAAGTCGCTGTGCGTGCTGAACGTGGGCCGCAACGCGCTGGGCGGCGAAGCGTTGCGGGCGCTGGGCGCGTGCGGCGCGCTGGTTTCGCTGGGGCTGCAGGCGGCGCGGCTGGGGCCCACGGCCGCCCGGGCTCTGGCCGACCTGGTCGCCGCCGACCACAAGCTGCAGGTGCGCCTCTGCTCTGATTACACTTTTAAACTTTTAAGGCGTCCAGTGGGACGGCCCCACACTAGTTTGCTTTATTTTTCTCAGCAGTACAAAGGGCAATGGCAAACTCTCATATAAATCGACCCCTCCTACGTAAAGTATCGTATGTCGAAATTGCCAAGTTTACAGGGGAGCGTTTTAAAGTTTTCAATTCACTGAAGTAAGAATAACACGTGACTTTATTTCTCAATTTTATCCGGCAAAACTCACACAGTGTATTTATAAAATCCTATATATCGGTTAGATGAACAACCACAATTTATTTTTATCATTTTACTATTTCATTTAGCATTTCTATGCTAATGTCATGTGTTATTACTCATTTCAGTGAATTCAAAACTTAAGGCTGCAAACTTGGCAATTTCGACATACGGTACTTTACGTAGGAGGAGTCGATATTTTTGTTGATATAATTTGTATTCTTCTGTTTATAAGAAATATGTGAAAATATTGAAATTCCTGAACAAATTTTGTTTCGGGGGTACTATTCTGAGAAGTCGGGATTTAAAGATATTCCAGTTTGAAGTTTTGGAGGTTGTGTGTTACGTAATAGAATAAAATATATTCGGTGTCTTATTATATCAAAATAAACTACAGAAGTCTTAAACAGAGTCAATAGAAGTTGAATGGAGCTGTGGTTTGGTGACGTGACGAAAGTTCAGATTAAATTATTTTGTACACTGGTGTGACGGTGTGACCTTCTTTCACTGTCATCTGACCTCTTTGTATCGCCCTCTCCGCTTGTATCCTATCATTTTTTATTTTACATGTATTTAAATTGTTCCATCTTCCTTTTCTTTCTCATACTCATTTTGTTTTCGTACCACGATCACTCCCAGCTCGACCGCGACAAGAGTCAGAGCTCTTCCAAATTCCATTTACTAAAATGTTATTTTTGATTCCTTACCAAGTTATAATACAAAACATAATACAACAGTCGGAGCAAAAAAAATTATCAAAAATTTGCTGCAATAGTTTTTCGACCAAAAAGGAACTTAAACCCGGATGGAATGCCGCCATTGAAACCCTATTACACGAATGTAAAGATTTGTACAGACGCTTTCTGGTGCTTTTCACTGGTATGGTCAAAAGGCATAAAGTTAAGCCATATCAAAAAAAAAAACTGAATTAATACATACCACAGACTATTGCACTGGTAACTCGGACACGATTTTTTTGTGAAACGTGCCATCTATCCCTGATTTTAAGAACTTCTTTGTCAGTTTTACCATTTTCTCGAGTGTCATTTTGGAGAAGAAATTATCGACTTTATTTTTTATGTTGAAGTAATTAAATCGGTCGAATAGTACATTTGATATTACGTGAACTAAATGTAGACCATATCCATATGTAGGTACTGAAATTCCTTTTGTATATATCAGTCCGATTGCATATTAATTGGTCATTAGAGTTCCTTTTAAATTAAATTTCATTTCCAGACTTAGATAGGCTGCTATTATGATTTTAAAATTCTTATGAATTTATTTTATTCAAACTTGTAATTAAGACATTAGAAGACGGTAACTAATTTTTCTATGATTTTGCCATTGTTCTTTCATACAAATACAATTACATGCCATTTTATACTACTCCTCGGAAGGTGAGCGTCAGTTTACAAAATAATGAAGAAATAACAGTAGTGTAAATAAACAAAATCAACATAATTAATTAAACTAATAAATAATTGAATTAAACTAACAAAGTCAGGTGTAGTCAGGTTTGCTATTATTCTAATTAGTTTTTTTTGCAACACAAATTGAGATGGTGCTTCGGTATTATTGCCCCACAGTATATATCTAACAGCAATAACTAACAAATGTATATTACAGTATAATAAATAATACGATGGATGTCAAATTCATTAATAAATATAATAATTTAATTATTTATTAAGTACTTTGAGTGTACTCTGTTACTGAGTAAAGGTACTTTTCCAATAAAAGGTTCTTCAGTCTGCAGCCAGAACGTTTCCTCACAACATTCGTTTTTTAGTTCGGCAGGTAGGTGCTCATAGTAGGTCGGTCCTATAACCTATATTTTTTTCGTGAAGTGCAGTGTGACGCGGTACTGATCGGAGTTGTCCCGCACGACTGAGTATTTCCGCGTGAGCATAATGTCCTCAAAAACATATTGCAAAACATAGTACTAGATGGACGGCTAACGTTGGTGATGATGATTATTGAGAGGGCCAGGACGCTTAACCGATGAACGTGTATAAAAGCGCTGATGCGTGTTTGAGGAGGCGAAAGATGCGTGTTTGGATTTTAGCAAGTGGAAGATTGTTGTCTATGCTTATCCCGAGGGGAAAAAGCTGTGAAGTATATGTGTTCGTTTAAGTAGCAGTAGAGCTTCTTGAGAAAGTGTTCGTATATGTACATAGGTATGTGGTCTGTTAAGTAGCAGTAGATCTTCGTGTTCGTCCAGGGAAATACTGCCACATTACCTACTTTTGTCGCCAAGCAGTAATGGGAGCATTACTGCGTTTCAGTTTTGGAGAGTAAGGGTGCTGGTAAAATTATTGCAACTGTCATCGATAGGCGTGTCGCTTACCATCAGGAACACGACTTGTTCGTCCCGTCCGTAAAAGAGTCCCACTAATGTGCATATGTCTCCTTTCAAGCGAGGGTTTAAACTATGGAGGTCTTCTACTGGTAGGAATCGTCGGAAATGAATACTCCAATACGTGGTATAACAAATAAACTATATTGGCAATTAAGCAAAGCACAAATCGCAGCTTAATTACGAATGGCAAGAGAGCAAGCACAGCGGTACGAACACGGAAGAAAAAACAATGGTAGTGGTATAAGCCTCATTACCATCGGAACCAATGTCGCTAGAACGCAGGCAAACAAAATTATAAACACTACGAAATCTAATTTATTTATTTAGTTAATCAGGCTCTCACAACAATAAGTACACTATAATTATGCAGGTATACATACACTATGGTTTTAAACTAAGGATGCACTAATAGAAATACCATAATATTTGGTTAGGCATGACGATACAAAAGTACAACCTATATGAACTTAACTATAAACTTATCACATCACTTGCTTTATCGTAGAAACGGAAGTACAACTTAGATCAATTTCACTCTGATACTCCTTATACCTTATATGTTATTGCTCGTGATAAGAAACAATTTAGCCCCAAATTTGTGCGACACCTTGGCCTATGGAAGAGCCTATTACAACCAGACCTCGGCAAATTATAGCGGGATAAGGAAGTCTAGCCGGAGACAATTATTTTGATAAAGGTCAGATCATCATTTTTCTACGGGTTTCTAGTGTAGCCATCTTAAAATGTTTCAAATTATTCTCATACGACACAAATTTTGCAGCTGATTTGCAAGAGTAGGTTAAATGATACACAAACCTTTTCTGTGTAAGTTATAGGTATTTCTACACTCCCTTGATATGAATCCGAGCATTTTAAAAGCCTTTAGTACACATATATTGATATGTTTATCAAATCTTAGTAAGGAATCTATTTGGACATCTAAATCGCGAATTTCCTGAAAGATAATGAAGTCTTGATAATGATTGGTCACAGTTTCTAATTTAAAAAGATGGAATAAATTCTGCATTGTTAACGTGTTCTGCAAATAACTTTACCCAGTCGTTGTATCGTTGAAAGTTCAATATAGTTATAACTGAAATTTTATTCAAAGTGCTTCCGTCTTGCGGCCACTAGCTGGACTACGAACGACTAACATCTGAACGAATAGAAAGTAGTATCTTCGCGACAACAGATATCTTTTTTAACGCACACATTACAAAATGAACCTTATTTCGATCAATTAAGTTTAAAGATAGCAAAACACTCATGAAGCATTTTTTCGTTACACCTTTGTTCGCTACTAGCGTGGAAAATTCGAGATGTTTACTTATTTCTCCAAAAGATAAAACTTGACCGTACTCTGAATAGTAACTGGTCATGATCATGATATTCAATAAAATAAATATTTAACATTTTAGTTCGTTACCTGTAGTGGTGTTTTTGTTACACCCTATATAATTTATGTTAATAAGGGGAATGTGACATTGCAGAGGCTGGACTTGCGCGACAACAAGCTCGGCGAGCAGGGGCTGCAAGCAATACTACAAGCGCTTAGCAAGAACACCTCGCTCACGCAAATCGATCTAGATGAGCCTACAGTAAGTACATAGTAGAATAAGAACAAGAAGGGTAGGGATCATCGAGTATATAACCAGAAAAAGATACGAAATGTCATTTAATTTGTTTGAAAACTATTCTGCCAAATCATTACGTTGACAAGTGTGTTCCGATTGGCCAGCCCGAATTCGAAACTTTTGACGGGTGTCGTCAATTCTTTCACTTCAAATCGACCGGTTTAACTTGGGCTTTGCTATAATGGATGGAAATTGAAAAATGATTGATTCCGTTTGTTTTGTAATTAGATGTTTTGCTGTTTTTCCCACACCACCGAATAGAACAGCACGGCATTGTTAGAGATATTACCTTTATTACAATAAATACATAATATTTTTGGAATATACGGAGACATACGCACAGGTTAGTGTATATTGACGTTAGAGCATGAGAAGTGAAAATGTAATTAATTCCTAATTTATTTATCTATCCAGGACACATCCAACTTGTCCGCCGAAGACGGAGAGGCGGTCGTCGTGGCGCGGCTGACTCGGGAAATCAGGGCGTTGTGCCGCAAGAACGAGCCCACAGCGACGTCACCGGAACGCAGAGTGCACAGGAAAATCAGCCTTACGTGCCATAGTACTTGTATACCCAGGGTAAGCGAATGCTGTTACTGCGAATCTCAAACAAACTGAAGTTTAAATAGTGCATTGTGTATTAATAATGATAAATAAAGAATTAGGAACTAGACTCTATTAGAAGCCTGAAGTCGAACACTGAGGGCTTTCGGAGTCGAGTGTAATGAGAAGAAAAAACGCCCGAGGGTTTTACTTAGAGCATTATAGTCAACTTAGCTCGCATACTATTTACGTGTAAGTGTGTTCACTAACTAAATGTGTGTAACTCATTCCGCAGTAAAGCAGCTTCCATGACAATGCGACGTTGTAATTTTTCCCTGTCAAGGAAACAAACCGGCTGTTGTTGTGATTCGTCTTATTAATACCGTGTCCGGATTGTTTGTATCATGAGTGTGCCCGTGAAGCGACGCAGAGTGAGCCTCCCGCTGTGTGCGCAGGCGCTGTCGTGCGAGGAGCGGCGGCCGCCCTGCGCGCGCCTGCGCTCGCCGCTGCCGTCGCCCGCGCCGTCGCCGGCCGGCAGCCCCGTGCCCGCCGCGCCC